TACAAATGTTGCCCTATGACAATGGTTAACAATCTCAACAACACATCAACAATATCCTTACTCAACCTTGGGTTCCCTATCACCAGCTTCCTTGTCCCCTTCGGCTTTCTGGCCCTTGTCACTGGACTCCTGCACCTCATTAGTCTCATTTCTACCACCAGATTTTTGTAACAATAGTCATACATGCAAGAATTGAAAAACTTCAAGGACAGACACTACTGTTACCCTGTGTTTAATAGAGAAGGCTATCATAGTTTGTAAAAAGTAATTTTAATTGTCAAATATTTATAAACATCTTCATAAAAATTACAGTGAAAATGTCTCAATAATTAGCAAAGGTAAATGGAACTTCTTAATTGGGGAAAAAAAAAAAAACTTAGATAAGGCATTATTTCAGTGGTGAGTAGATCAAGTTACCCTTTCCTTAAACATTAAATGTGCATAGTTTAACTTATGGAATAGTATTCTCATACTGAAATTTCAATACTAGTGTGCCTCATTTGCAAAAGTAACATTTGTAGGTAAAGTAATAAGGTTTAGTACAGCTGACGATGATGGATAATTAAAAAATTTTTTATCTCTAGGAAACAAACTGCATAAAATTTTTCTTTTGTATCCATTTCTATTAAGATTCCTATTAGTTTCGTAACTGACATAAATTAACAAATCTTTTGAGTATTCAGATAATTTTCAATGATAATTTCTGATAAAAATCTTAAATGTATAAGACATTTGTTGCTCAAGAACAATTACAAAACTAACCAGGATAGCTCAATCATACTATTACGAGTGAAAACTGGGAATATTGTGCAAGAAGGATTTAACACAGCAGTTCTGAGGCTGCTATCTTTACAAGGGCCTGCTTACAAAGTTAGTCCTTGGCTGGTGTCTCAGAACTTGGTATTGAACCGTTCCCTAACCAGTAAGGACAGCTGAATACACCCTACTTGCGCAAACAATGAGATTTATGCTAAACACCTACTTTCCTTCTGGGATTCTGAATTCTGCTAGCTGCTAGGCAGAAGATGCCTATGCGACCAGCTATCAGTAAAACCTTGGGCACCAGTCTCTAATGAGCTTCCCTGGGCAGAAACGTACTTTTTGCTGCTGGAGAAAGGAGCACATTTGGTGTGTGCCCTCACAGGAGAGCAAGCCTCAGCAGCCTGTGCATGGATTTCTCCAGGCTTTGCCTGTGTCTTTTTCCCTGGCCAATCCTGTTGTGCTGCCTCCTGCTATAACAAACCTCAGCTGTGAGTACAACGCCTTGCTAAGTCCTGTGACGACTCCTAGCAAATTACGGGGATCCCCGAAAACCCACACCGTGACTCAATAACATCAGATTAGGAGGAGTTTTATAAGAAATCCTGGCAGAAATGTTCAAACTTGAACTTAAACTACACAGCTATTTTAATTCAACAAGTAACTAAGTGTCTCCTGACAGAGAGATAAAAAGACAATGAACCCATTTTCTTAAGGAACTCATTGTCTACAATGGGAAACAGGTGGAAGACTGTATTTACTGGCCAAGACACCACAGTCCATTGCATTAGAAATGATAATACAAAATGTCCAAAACTCATTTGGTAAAGATTTTGGCATTTCAATTAAAGGACTTATACTTTAAAAAAAAAAATTTCAGGACACTGTACTCTCTAACTCCCTGCACTGAACAGTAATGACCCAAGACCAGAAGAATGGTGGGAAGACATCAAGGACATCATACATGAAGAAAGTAAAAGGTCATTCAAAAGAAAGGAAAAAAGAAAAAAAACAAAATGGATGTCAGAAGAGACTCTGAAACTTGCTTTTAAGCACACAGTAGCTAAAGGGAACAGAGAAATGTGAAGTAAAAGAGATGAACAGAAGATTTCAGCTTGAGAAGACAAGGTAAGGTACTAGGATGAAATGAGCAAAGACCTCGAGTTAGAAAACCAACAAGGAAGAATACGATCAGCATTTCTCAAGCTGAAAGAACTGAAGAAAAAAATTCAGGCTTTGAGTTGCAATACTGAAGGATTCTATGTGCAAAAAAACTGAATGACAGAGGAAGCATGAAAAGATAGAAGGAATACACAGAGTCACTGTACCAAAAAGAACTGATTAACATTCAACCATTTCAGGAGGTAGCACATGATCAAGAACTGCTGGTACTGAAGAAGAAGTCCAAGCTGCACTGAAGGCACTGGTGAAAAACAAGGCTCCAGGAATTAACAGAATTCCAACTGAGATGCTGGAAGAGCTTACTTGTCTATAGCTAAACTAAGAAATGTGAAAGACAGCTACCTGGCCAATTGACTAAAAGAGATCCAGATTCACGCTTATTTCAAAGAAAGGCGATCAAATGGAATGAGGAAATTATTGGACAATATTATTAATATCACATGCTAGCAAAATTATTCTGAAGATAATTCAAAAATAGCCATAGCCATGCATTGACAGGGAAGTGCCCGAAATTTAGGCAGGATTCAGACTAGGATGTGGAACGGGGGATATCATGGCTTATGTCAGAAGGATCCTGGCTGAAAGAGAGAATACCAGAAAGATGTTTACCTGTGTTTCACTGACTATGCGAACGCATTTGACTATGTGGATCATAACACATTATGGATAACATTACAAAAAAAATGGGAATTCCAGTTTAACTGTGTCCACATGGAACCTATACACGGATAAAGAGGCAGTCGTTTGCACGGAACAAGGGAATACTGCCTGGTTCCAAACTGGAAAGAGTATCAGTCAGTGTTGTATCCTTTCACTTTACTTATTCAATCTGCATGCTGAGCAAATAATCAGAAAAACTGGACTATATGAAGGAGAATGTGGCATCAGGATTGGAAGAAGACCCATTAACAAACTATGATATGCAGATGACACAACCTTGCTTGCCCAAACTGAAGACGACTTGAAGCAGTTACAGGTGAAGGTCAAAGTTTACAGCCTGCAGTACAGATTACACTTCACAGTGAAGACAAAGAAAACCCTCATAACTGGACAGACAGACAACATCAGGATGAATGGAGAAAAAACTGAAGTTGTCAATGATATCACTCTACTTGGATCAACAGGGTCCATGGAAGCAGCAGTGAGGAAATTAATGTATTGCATTAGGCAAGTCTGCTGCAAAAGACTTAAGGTTTTAAAAAGCAAAGACGTCACTTTAATGACTAGGTGCACTTGACCCACGCCATGGTCTTTTCAATCACTTCACATGCATGAGAAAGCAGGACAATGGAAAAGGAAGACTGAAGAAGAACTGATGCATGTGAATTACGGTGTTAGCAAAGAATCTGAATATATTAAGGACTGCCAGAAGAACAAATAAATCAGTCTGAGAAGAAATACTACCAGAATGTTCCTTAGAAACAAGGATGGTGAAACTTCAGCTCCTTTACTTGGGACATGTCATCAAAAAAAACAATTGCTAGGAAGGGACATCATGGTTGATAAAGAAGAGGGTCAGCGAAAACAAGGGAAACCCTCCATGACATGAACTGACACGACAGCCACAACAGTGAACTCAAACATATGAAGGATCATGAAGACAGCAAGGACCAGACAAGGTTTCGTGCTGTTACGCATTAGAGGTAATCGTGAGTTTAAGCAACTAATAATAATTCCTTTGCATCCTTAAGTTTTTAACTAACAAAATTCAATATTCTTAGTACTAAGGCTGAACAGATGCCACAATTAGACTTAAATAATCTTTGGATAAAAATTAAGTAGGTTTTTTTAAAAAAACTACTTTTAAATTTGAACCATTTAAGTTGTACTTATAGATACTTTGAATGCAAAGTAAGATGTCTCCTCACAGAGGATGTGGATATTAACATTCCTGCCTATGAAACATAGTATATTATTTTTGGAAATGTTTATCTATATATATTTACATGGTTTACAGAAAGGAAAAAGAAAGTATTATATACTACTGTGGTATTCGGTTATCCCAAATTATAATTCACTTTTAATATTCACAAATAGCACTGGGAACTGCCCCCACAGGGTTTCCAAGGAGCAGCTGGGAATTCGAACTGCCGACCTCTTCGTTTGCAGCCTGAGCTCTTAACCACTGTGCCACCAGGGCTCCCTTTTAAATTTTATAGTAAATGTATCTGAAAATAGAAGCATTTTGAATATATATATATTTTCTTTAAAAGAAGATACTGGATACTAGAAGATAATGAATGGTGTGCCTCCTTCCTACCCACAAGGGTTTTGTCCTGTATAACTCTGTGGAGAGAACATCTATGGTTGAACAATCTAGGACCTAGTGGAGGAGAGACTTGGAAACCATTGTTGGGAACCCGTGATATTTCATATTTACCAAAACAAAGAGAGCACGTGAAAAATATAAATGACATATTTCATACCAGAAATTTGTCTTATTGGGTGCGAAAATACTAACTTCCATTTACTGATCCTTGTTAGAAACATGTCTCTTTCCTCAGAAGTTTCAGAGAAATGGTTAAATAATATGGGCTGTTTTGTCAGAGAACATGCACGCAAGAAGCATTTTTGTTTTTTTCTTGGGTCTGACTGGTTCTTCATTCACCATAAAGAAAGGATAACCTGGGATACTTGATACGGAAACACTTTGTCTGAACTTTAAAATAATTTGTCTTTCCACAGTTAAGGGAGTTATCACAACATACACCAACAAGGATATTAAAACTGTCCTGCAATACCAGGGTGAGAGCCTTGCGTGGCCCATGGTAACTCTGGGCCAGGGACTACCTAAGTGCTGACCCAGCTGCAGCCCTGCCAACTATCCTTCAGACAGATGGGCATTTACAAGGATCTTTTCGACCGTACTTTCTTTTCCCCAATGCTCCACTGCAAAACCTTCTCTTATTCTTTCGCATCTTACCTCCACCCTTCTCATTCTTTTCTCTACCCTCAGGGGTTTTTATTTTCTCGAAAGACACCCAACAAGAACAACCCTCAAGTGATGTATATCAGATCTAAAAATCCTTCAGTTAGACAAAATACATAAAAGTAAACCTCTGCATACACTAAAATGTCATAGGGGGCAATTGTGGGGATGTCCATGATGTTATTACCAGAATCATGAACTTTTCAGAGCAGAAGTCTGGCAATAATGCAACCAGTGACAACTGAAGAAAATTGTATGTTTTCTAAACATAAGGATTAATTGATACATATGTCATTTATAACTTTAAAGAGCTACCAAAAAGGGTAATACACAGGTTATGTTTAATAACAATTTAAAATTAGAACGTACCAGAATGTAGCAACCAAGCAAGATGCTTTGGGACTGGGCTCTGGTGATATGGTATTGACTGTACCAGCATTCCAGCTCCAATCATGGCTGCAAAGGTTGCACCAATTGTCTGAAAGACACATATTACTATGAGAAAGCTGATCCTTATACAACAAAAAAATAGAAACCGAGAAGTTCTAAGTACAATTAATTACTTCTAATAAACCAGTTTTAAAAAAGATGAAGGACAATAAATTGAATCCTATATCTTTCCGTTACACAAAGTCGTTGGGTTATGAACATCCAACTTACGGACAACTTGTACTTGCCCTTTGTTGTTAGGAGCCATTGATTCTGACTCACAGTGACCCTGTGTACAAAAGAGCAAAACACTACCCGGTCCTGCGGCCATCCTCATAATCGTTGTTAGGCTTCAGTCTATCACTGCAGCCAATGGGTCAATCCATCGCGTTGAGGGTATTCCTCTTCTTCACGACCCTCTACTTTACCAAAGATGATGTCCTTCTCCAGCGACTGGTCCCTCCTGACAACATGTCCAAAGAATGTGAGACAAAGTCTCACCATCCTTGCTTCTAAGGAGCATTCTGATTGTACTTCTTCCAAGACAGATTAGACTGTTCTTGTGGCAGTCTATGGTATATTCACTCTTCCTTGCCAACACCACAATGCAAATGCATCAACTCTTCTTGGGTCTTCTTTTCGCATGCATACAAGGTGACTGAAAATACCATGGCTTGGGTCAGGCACACCTTAGTCCTCGAGGTGACATCTTTGCTTTTTAACTTGCCCTTTAATGTTATGTAAATTTGCGCTCACTTTGAAATGACTGAACCAACCCCTACTGCAACAAATTAATCATCACAATCATCTTCACTTGCTGCATGAGCAGCTTTTAAATCACTGAAAAGGCTTCGAGACTTTTCTCGTACCAAAGTAAAACAAGAACTGCATGCACTTATCTACAAATTTAACTTAACAGACACTTAAGAACTGACCTCATTCATAACCCAGGAACTGCCTGTACATTAAAGGCCTTGGGTTTATTCTGAATTTGAAGTTTTGGCTAAGTTAGCAAGAGCGCCCCCTACTGCCACATAAAAAGTTTTTCAAGAAACTTTAAGTGTATGAGTTGAGCTTGGACTGACACCATCATCTTTTGAAGTCTTTATTCTTGTTTCACAGATGTATAATAAAACCCCTTTAAAAATCCCAGGATAACTATTTTTAATTAAAACATACACTTCGGTAGAGTGCAAATAGCATTTTCCTGAAAATCAGTCAGGGTCTACTAATCAGAAGAAATACATACGCCTGAAGAGAGAGAAGGGGCTCTGGTGGTGTAATGGTTAAGCACTTCCCTGCTAACCGAAAGGTTGGTGGTTCGAACCCACCAGTGGCTCCGAAGGAGAAAAGACCTGGCGACCTGCTCCCGTAAAGCTTACAGCCTAGGAAACCCTATGTGGCAGTTCTACTCTGTCCTACAGGGTTGCGATGAGTCGAACTGACCCAACGGCGCACAAAGAGAGAGACCGCGCGTGCACACACGCACATAGTGCCTTAAACTCCTTATCTGCTAAGTGAGAATCTGAAAAATGGAAAAGAAGATGTGAAATAAGATCCCATGTTTCTATCTTTCCAGTTTTACGGCTGACTTGGTCCTCATTCCTTTGCTTTGCCTATCTTACATTTTCATTGTTAAAACATTTAAACAGTCCTTATACATAACACTTTAATTCTTTGAAAAAAGGTAATTATAATGAATCTTCAGAATATTTAAAGCAGAGATTGCAAACCTGCAGCCCTTGGACAGAATCAGGCAACAGATGTGTTTTGTCTGGCCAAGTGTTAAAAAAAACAATTTAACGTGGATGCTTTTAGGAGGGGCAGGCCTTGCGATAGAGCAGCTGTTTTCGCTGGAAATGGGAAAGCCCTCACTCATTTTAATACAGAAAAATACTCTGGGTTCTACGATACCATTTTCCAGTGGAGGAATAATTACTAAAACCTACTTCAAACATCCGCTGTGCACAGAATTTTCAGTGTATTTATTACAATCGTATTTTTTCCTTAAGGCCCTTTGGGATCTAGTCTCGTTGTTTGTCCCCTCTTTCCATACTCTACATTTCAGCTCTACAGAACTGGCAGAGCCACCAACATGCCCTGAAGCTCCAGCCTTCTTAATTCTGCCCACTATGCCTAAGAATTTACCTCCTTCCTGTCTGGCTGATGGACTAAAGCATCACCTCCTCATCTAGCAACCTGCTGCTGGTAACTACCCTGGTGCCCACAAGCAGTGACAGATGCCACTCTTCCAACAGCACTTGGGGCAAACCTCTCTGACGTTATCAGTGGATGTCTGCCACCTCAAAAGACGACATCTTTATCTCTACAGCACTTGTCTTTGGCTTTCCAAATGATTTTACTTATGTATTCCTAACAGCAGAGGCGAGTGATCTTATTCTCAGAAGGGGGCTGAAGGTATGGCCCAAGCACAAAACTCATCTGAAGTCTTATTTTAAAAGTTAAAAGTTTATGTGCACTTTAATCTTTCATAACATAACCACATTTGTTTTATTACAAAAACATTATTTCAAATTATTTACCTTGAAGCAAAACTGACATTTCTGGTAGGAATGCATCAAGCTTATTCTGTAGCTTCCCGAACCTCTAAGCTAGGAAATTCATCACCAATCAACTGAGAAGCATGACCCTAAGAACACCGAAGTGTCCAAACGGCTACACAGCTATAACTAGCTCTCCTTCTGGAAAGTGCAGCTGAGTGGAAACAACATGGATTTGGAAGTTAGATGGATTTTGGTCATCTGTGGGGAGAATCGGAGGCCTAGTGGCATGGTAGTTATGAGCTCGGCTGCTAACCAAAAGGTTAGCAGTTGGAATTCACCAGCTGCTCCTTAGAAACCCTATGGGGCAGTTCTACTCTCTCCTATAAGGTCACTATGAGTCGGAATTGACTTGAAAGCAATAGGTTTTGGTGGGAAGAATCAGTTTGCCATGGGAATTGAAGTATCACATAAACTCTCCTATCTCTCCTTCCTTCCAGTTGCACTTACTGCTCCAGTTTAGGTTCCCATCATCCCTCATTTCACATTTTTCAAAAGTACAGCTGCTACCTCTGCTTATCTCTTCAACGTTAGTTCCTAAAACTCAAACATAAATCATATTTTTGCTGTTCCAATTATCTTCAATGGCCTACCACTCCTTACGTATGCTCCTCAGCTTGGTAACCGAACATTCCCTTATAACTGTGTCCTCTTCATAATCCAGGCCTCAAACACAAACTTTATCCTAGCAGGACTGCAAGTCAGTTTTATAATTAGGGTCTCCTACTTCCTCTGCTTTGCTCATGCTGTTTTGTAACTTGGACTGTCCTCATCCTCTCCTAAAATAAAAAGTGCCCGCCTTCGATGACCCTAACGACATAAAGATCTCCTTCATGGACCTTCCCCAGTAGTCTGACAGGTACTTCCTGCCTCCTGCTGCATGTTTTTTACCATGTATTCCAGTTCAAACTCTGTTCTACCACGTAAGAGAAAAACAGGCACCACATCTGAAATCACTACTGGTACCTGGCAAAATAAGTGCTCAAGAAATAACACACTACACACAAACCTTCAGTAAGCTCCAGACAGACGCGCATGCCTGACAGTGGCCGCATTACTCTGCTTGCAGAGATGCAGAACGCTTAGGGTTTGTCGCAGGCATTTTCCACTGACCTCTAGGATGTTTCTGCATTTGTCTTATCTTCAGTAAACTGCTACAAAACAGAGGCTGTCTGAAATCCGCAGCTAGACGGACAAGTGGGAACGTCCCTGGAAATCTGATTGCCAACCCCTTTGCACTACTGAAACACGTATTCAACACAGAATAACGTGACTTACCTCTGAATGCATGTCCTCTTTTGTCTCACCTGCACTAATAATCCATATATTATTCTAGCAACAAGCTTCTCAATATATTAAGGTATTCCTGCCATTTAATCCCCAGGCCCCCAATGTTCTGTTTCACCTTCGGAACTTTAGATGGAAAAGGAAGAAACAAGCTGACTTACCACCCAAGAGCCTCTCATCATGAAATTCATGAGAACAGGAGCTCTAGTCACTGCCAAGGCAGACAGAGCTGTTAAACCAATACTTCCTGCTAGGTACATGTAGGTGGAGTGAATTCTATCCTTCACATACTGAGGCCAAATTCTGTAAGAAACATGACACAGTTAAGTAATAGGATGTGCATTAGGGCTGAATTATTTACTAACTGGACAACCTTGGGACAAGTCACTTCACTGATCTAAATCTTATTCACCTCATTTATCATGGAACTAATTATGCATGCCTTGGGGTTACTGTAAAAATGCAATGGGATAAAGCATATAAGCATTTGGCAAATATAAAAAGCAACACATTGTTTCCTTATTTAAACATATACAACCTTGGTAAAAAAGACTTTTATTTAGGTTTGAATAAACATATGCCAAAGAAACGGGAAGAAATTCTGTATTTATTCATTTATGTTTCTACACAGTTAAGATTAGACACAAAATATTCCAAACGTGGCTAAAGACAAGGATGAGACAAAAACTGGAACTTTTAAGGCGTGAATTGTTTGGAAACAATTTACTTACACAGCCTTTTCAATGGCTCCAATCTCATTGGACATTCCCAAGCCATAGAAGCACAAGGCTCCAAGACCAACAGCAGCCCCTCCAGCAACAAACCATCTTCCCATCTGATCAACTGCAGAAGACAGGAGGAAAGACAGGTTAATGTCGTGACTGAGTGAACATGCTGATGGTAAGCCTTTCATAATATTTACACGAGGGGAATCAAACCATACACTGTATTCCTTAGTAACAGCCATAATTAGTACATATGGGGATATAGAAATGCCCTCAAATTAGAGATCCAGTAAAAGGACACCCCCAAAACAAAGGTACAATAATCAGTACAAAAAAGGATCAGACTGAACTGATCAACCTTCACTGTCACTCCAACAAGAGATGTGTGGGGGCAGTGCGTTTGTAGATGTGGATATTTCTGTGATATACATGACTTTATCAGTAGGAGGTTGGGCAGTGTTATCATGATACTCTAAGAAAGATGACAAGGGGAACCAAAGAAGAAAAATGTAACTGGAATTTATGCAGCAGAAGAAGGGGAAAAGTTGTTCTTGTTTTAGAGTACTGAGAGACATTTAACTTGTTATCAACTCTAACTCAATGCAAGTATTCAGTAAGAGTTATCTCACACCCTTTAGTCTAAATCTGTGTTCACTAAGAATGCTGTTACTCTGTCATTATATAATTCGTATAATTTGGTCTCTAGGGTCAACTAACAAATCAGAAGGAAATGACCTGATGGATACTGATTAGTGCTCTTTCCCTCTGTAATACACTGATATTTTGCAAGGTTAAGGAGCAGTGGTGTTCTGTAATTAGCTTTGTGTAGGTTGTAAAACTCTAGTTTCTGAACATGCAAAGCTGCAATCCAAACTGTGAAGCAAACTGACTTCATTAACGTACTGTCTCCTAAACTGTCCTATATGGATAGCTAGTGAGAAGCCCCTTCTTGAATAGCTAGGCTTTTACTAAGAGTAATGTTTTCGTGATTTACTCTTGACTAAAACACACACAAGAATTATGTACTTGAATGAAGATTCTATACAATTTTAAATGAACTTCCTCATATTATAATGATGAAAGTAAAATTTTCACTGGAAGAAATAATGACTGGGAACCACCTAGTGAAGTGTAAAGAACCAATGTTTTATGAGCCATCAGATCCCCGATAGTTATGAGAATTATGGTCTTTCTTCCCAGAAAATACATATATACACAAGTTTGTAAACATTTTTAAGAGGCTGTTCACGGACCTCTTAAAGACTGCTACCTACTTTTAAATATTTTTTCCACTGATGGTTCCAGTGCTGCCTCTTTGAGTTCTTGGCCAGTTTTCCCACGCCGGATTCCAATTCTTGTCTTGATAGCATATTCCTGATATACATGCAAAGAAACATGCCACTCACGTCAAAACAGAATGTTAAGAATAAAATAAAACTGAGGATTTCTTTACACTAGAAAACTATATTTAAAGAAATCTGGTACTTTCTAGATATATAATTTCGCTACAAAATTATGTAAGCCAATCTACAAAATTAAATGCGGACCTTACTCGTGCTCTGCCACCACATGTCTGTCAGTCTGTTGTACTGTGGTGGCTTGTGTGCTGCTGTGATACTGGAAGCTTTGCCACTGGTATTTCAAATGCCAGAAGGGTCACCCTTTGGTGGAGAGGTTTCAGCTGAGCTTTCAGACTAGGAAGAAGGACCCAAAAGTCTACTTCTGAAAAACTGGCCAGTGAAAACCTTACGAATAGCAGAGAGACATTGTCTGATATCATGCCGAAGATGAGCCCCTCCGGTTGGAAGGCACTCAAAATACCACTGGGGAAGAGCTGCCTCCTCAAAGTAGAGCTGACCTTAATGATGTGGATAGAGTCTAGCTTTCGGGACCTTCACCTGCTGATGTGGCACGACTCAAAATGAGAAGAAACAGCTACAAACATCCATTAATAACTGGAACGTGAAATGTACAAAGTATGAATCTAGGAAAATTGGAAGTTGTCAAAAGTGAAATGGAATGCATAAACATCGATATCCTAATGCATTAATGGGCTGAATTGGACTGGTATTGGCCATTTTGAATCAATCATATGGTCTACCATGTCAGGAATGACAAATTTAAGAGGAATGGCATCACATTCATCACCAAAAAGAACATTTCAAGATCTATCCTGAAGAACAATGCTGTGATAGGATACTATCCATAAGCCTACAAAGAAGACCAGTTAATACAACTATCATTTGAATTTACACACCAACCACTAAGGCCAAAGGTGAGGAAACTGAAGAATTTTTACCAACTTCTGCACTCTGAAATTGATCAAACATGCAATCAAGGTGCAATAATTACTGGTGACTGGAATGTGAAAGTTTGAAACAAAGAAGGACTGGTAGTTGGAAAATATGGCCTTGCCAGTAGAAACGACACCGGTGACTGCATGATAGAATTCTGCAAGACTAACGACTTCATTGCAAATACCTTTTTTCAACAACATAAACAGCGACTATGCAAATAGACCTTGTCAAATGGAAGACACAGGAATCAAATCAACTACATCTGCGGAAACAGACGATGGAAAAGCTCAATATGATCAGTCAGAACAAGGCCAGGGGCCTACTGTGGAAAAGACCATCAACTGCTCATATGCAAGTTCAGGTTGAAGCTGAAGAAAATTAGAACAAGTCCAGAAGAGCCAAAGTATGACTCTGAGTCTATCATACCTGAATTTAGAGACCATCTCAAGAAAAGATCTGATGCACTGAGCACTAATGACTGAAGACCAGACAAGTTGTGAAAACAATGAAGAAAGCAACAGGTCATTAAAAAGAAAAGATCAAACTGGATGTCAGAAGAGACTCTGAAACTTGCTCTTGGACGCAGAGTAGCTAAAGTGAAAGGAAGAAATGATGAAGTAAAAGAGCCGAACAGAACATTTCAAAGGCAAGCTCAAGAAGACAAAGTAAAGTATTATAATGACACGTGCAAAGACATGGAGATAGAAAACCAAAAGGGAAGAACATGCTCAGCATTTCTCTCAAGCTAAAAGAACTGAAGAAAAAGTTCAAGTCTTGTGTTGCAATATTGAAGCATTTTATGGGGAAAATATTAAGCATCAAAAGATGGAAGGAATACACAGTGTCACTATACCAAAAAGAATTTGTCAACATTCAGTCATTTCAGGAGGTAGCATATGATCAAGAACTGATGGTACTGAAGGAAGAGGTCGAAGCTGCTCTGAAGGCATTCCCAAAAAACAAGGCTCCAGGAACTGATGGAATACCAACTGAGATGTTTCAACAAACAGATGGAGTGCTGGAAGCGCTCCTTGGTCTATGTCAAGAAATTTGGAAGACAGTTACCTCACCAATCAACTGGAAGACATCCCTATTTGTGCCCATTCCAAAGAAAAGGTGATCCAACAGAATGCAGAAATTATCGAACAACATCATTAGTATCACACAGAAGTAAAATTTTGCTGAAGATCATTCAAAAGTGGTTGCAGAAGTACACTGACAGGAACTGCCAGAAATTCAAGCCAGATTCAAAAGAGGATATAGAACGAGGGATATCACTGCTGATGTCAGATGGACCCTGGCTGAAAGCAGAGAATACCAGAAAGATGTTTAATAGCATTTTACTTACTATGCAAAAGAATTCAACTCTGTGGATCATAACAAATTATGGATAACATTGCAAAGAACAGGAATTTCCAGAACACTTAACTGTGCTCATGCTGAACCTGTACACATGCCAAGCGGCAGTCATTTGAAGAGAACAAGGTGATACTGCATGGTTTAAGTGTGTCAGGGTTATATCCTTTCACCATACTTATTCGATCTGTATGCTGAGCAAATAATCTGAGAAGCTGAACTATATGAAGAACAGGGCATCAGGACTGGAGAAGACTCATTAACAACCTGCGATATGAAGATGACACAACCTTGCTTGCTGAAAGTGAAGAGGACTTGAAGCACTTACTGATGAAAATCAAAGATAACAGCCTTCAGCATGGATTACACCTTAACATAAAGAAAGCAAAAATCTTCACAACTGGACCAATGAGCAACATTATGATAAATGAAGAAAATACTGAAGCTGTAAAGGACTTCATTTTACTTGGATCCACAATCAACACCCATGGAAGCAGCAGTCAAGAAATCAAACAACACACTGCACTGGGCAAATCTGCTGCAAAAAACCTCTTTAAAATGTTAAAAAGCAAAGATGTCACTTTAAGGACGAAGGTGTGCCTGACCCAAGCCATGGTGTCTTCAACTGCCTCATATGCATGTGAATGCTGGACAATGAATAAGGACGACAGAAGAATTAATGCCTTTGAATTGTGTTGGCAAAGAATACTGAATATACTATGGACTCCCAGAAGAACGAATAAACCTGTCTTGGAAGAAATACAGCCAGAATGCTCCGTAGAAGCAAGGATGGTGAGACTTTGTCTCACATACTTTGGACGTGTTATCAGGAGGCACCAGTCCCTGGAGAAAGACATCATGCTTGGTAAAGTAGAGGGTCACTGAAAAAGAGGAAGACCCTCAAGGAGATGTACTGACACAGTGGCTGCAACAATGGGCTCGAGCATAACAATGACTGTGAGGATGGTGCAGGACTGGACAGTGTTTCGTTCTGTTGTACACAGGGTGACTATGAGTCGGAACTGTCTCGAAGGCACCTAACAACATCCACAACAACCTGGGCTCCATGTTAGAAGCGACTCACTAATTCATTGTACATCTAACTTTTTAGTTCCGTTAAGTTTTAGATTGTTTATTTTATAAAAAACTATAGATTTTATTTATATCTCTAAAGTTATTGTAGTATTTTAAACCTTAAGCAGATATCAAGACAAGACATTAATATTTTTAAAAAATGTACTCAATGAGTATTAGTATTAGCTGCATTTTGTCATCTAGGAAAAAGGCTCAAAAAAGGCATCGTTCCTTAATACCAAGCCAAGGGAAGTGATCACTGCTGCTTTTATTTTAGCTTTTTCAATAGCTGATTTAAGAGGAAAAGAGCTGTCTCCTTGTAGCTTCTGTATATTCTCCTTATCTACCGCACATTTCAAAATGTAGTTCCCTTCTAATTTGAATGCTAAAGACAAATTTACTGTGAAAGAAAGGAGGTTTTCCTCTAACTGACGGATTTTATTTTATCATCTTCTAAACAAGATCTGAAATAATATCTTTATTAACTTATTAATATGCTATTGGTCAACGAATAGTAATATCTCTGGTTTCTTAGTTTTGAGTATAGGCTCTGAGATCTTTTTACTGCAATATCCTTCACCAATTATTCTAAATTCTCTGAATGAGAAAATTCCAAGAGCTGTTAATAAAGTTATAGGAGCTCTTTTTCTCTTATGTATGTGATAAGGATGGACCAGGATGATACAAAATTAATGGGGAAAAAGCTGATTTGGGACATTATCAGAACTGTTTCAATAAATCACTAAAAGCAGAGAAGTAAGCTTCAGACTTTGCCCAAAAAACGGGCCCCAGGAGCACAAAGGGAAAAAGACAGATAATATGAAAACATTCAGAGTATCTTTACCCTGCTGGGTGTTAGAAGCCACTGATTCTTCGTGATGGAATTCTTCACAAGAGGGGACGCCTTGGTGAAAGCTGGGTGAAAAGTCCTCGAAGGGAGAATCCGGAGACACGCAAACCTTGCGGCCAACATGGTGGTGCACCAGGGTTACCAAGCAGATCTGAAATGCTAGTTAGAAACACAGACCAAAAAAAGAAGACAAAAACCATTAACTACTTGAGGAAAGGACACAGAGCAGACAGAGATATGAAGGAGTCAATTAGTTTTAGTAAAAAGATAGAGTAAGATAACTTTTTAAAATTTCAACGATGAATCTTCTGCTTGTCCTTGTAATTCAAGAAACCATTCCAAAGAACCCAGTTTGGGATGGAGCCACAAAATTACATCTAAATCCCTTTTTGACCAATTATGTAATGCATGACTCTGCATAAGTTACAGGTCTAACACAGTGTGAATGTCAGTATCTTAACACGATTACAAGGTCTGTGATGGCTCTGGCTTAAGATTTATGCCAGCAATCAATTGGAAAATTTAAAAGAAGACTGTTCTATTTTTTGAGCAGATGAAAAACATCATCCAAGGAAGAGACGAATAATACTTCAAGGTCATACTGCATTACAAAACTAAAAAACAACAGAAACCAAAAATTATACATTTCAGTTAAACATGCCAAAACATCACTTCCCTTCGAGAAAAAATATAAAGATAACCAAAGTAAAGTAATCTATTATACCTATCATATTGTGTGCCAGCAAGTAGATTGCAACTCATAGCGACCCTACAAGACAAGGTACAGCTGCCCCACGGCGTTTCCTAGGCTGTTATCTTTATAGGAGCAGACTGTCAGGTCTTTTTTCTTGTGAAGAGACTGGTGGGTTCAAACTGCCAACCTTTTGGTTAGCAGCCTAGTGCTTAACCATTTCACCACCAGGGCTTCCTACGTGCCTTTCTACAGCCAAATAAAGGACATTCAATCTTTCAACGTAAACTCCGTTACTAGCCGCCCCTCAAGTGAGGCTTCTTCAGTAGTGTCCCTAAAAAGAAAAGCACGCTAAAAATTGGGTTCTCTTAGCTCTAGGGCAGATTACACCAGATGGCTGGTCAACTAGAATCAGATGAACATCTTCCTATAATGCTAAGGTGATTAACTAGGAGAGAAAGGCAACTTGGGCTACAAGCCCATCTCTGGCAATAATCTGTGTGAACTGTAGCCTAGTGACTATCCTCCTGGATCTCACTGCCGCCACCAGTAATATTAGGGAACTGAAAGAAACCGCTCAGACCACAGTGCTGACCTTTTGACTACTTGTTTTGCATATACTTGGGATACATCTTTAAAATGTAGATTCCTGAGTCCTAATGGAATGGAGCCCAGGAATATGTATTTTAACTAGTACCCTAAAAGCTAAGAACCTTTCATTGAAAAACAACCTGAGAGCCCTTCCAGCTCTACCACTGGATCTATGAAGGATGTAAAACACTGGGCATTGGTCCCTTGGGAAAACACCGTGCCCTTTTGGCATTTTCATTCCACTGCATCATCTCAGCATATTTCCGTCAGTCCTCAGTCGGGTGACCGGGGCAGAGGCCCAACTCAGACTGACCAGCCAGCACTCAGTTGCATAGCAGACCAGGGTGGGAATCCCCCTTCAGCCACATGCTAGCAGTGGCCTTGAGCGGGTGTTGGACCTCTCAGAGACTCAGGTGCCTAAGCTATACAACGGAAAAAACAGTGCACCCCGTACGGCTCCGTAGGCATTGATGAGCATAGGCGCCTGGTCCCCCCAGAAAAATCACGAAGCCCACTAGACTCAGAGGAAAACCGAGCAGCAAACCTCCAATCTCCTAACGTCAACACAAACGCTACAACACACCCCTTCGGGCGCCCCCAGCCTCCAATCTCGTAACGTCAACACAAACCCTACAACACACCCCTTTGGGCGCCCCCATTTATCTGCCTGAGTGTAGCTGTGCGGTCTGGAAAGGAGGTCGGCCAGGACGAGCCCCTACCCGCCTGCCTGTCCCCGCGGACGCCACCCTCCGCCCGTTCACCCGCAGGACGGTGACTTTAACGCGCAGCCGGCCGTGACGCAGCAGCGCAGCCACCTCCACTCCTCCCCAGCCTCACCGAGTGGTCCTACGGGGCCAGCAGTTAAGAGTATTAGGGAGTCCCGGGTCTCGGTATGCCTGGGGAAGCCGTACCTCAGGGCCCAGTCACCTCCACACAATTCCCCTTCCGGGCCGGCGACAAGCGCACGCGCCCAACTCTCCGGCCGTTCGCCCTCCTCTTACTGCCCCGGCGCACGCACTTCCTCTAGCTCACTGCGTGACGCAACATCCGGATAGGAGTCAAAATAAGTACGGACAGCCAATCGTGAGCAGGCTTTTGATGGGAGAGCGGTACAGTAGGGGTAGACTGGTTACAGGCTGGTGGGGCGGGGCCAGTGGAGGATTGTTGTGGAAAGCGTCACAGACAGTGTCCGTTTTGCGTCTAGTTAGAGAATCTGCCTCCGCCATCTTAGCTCTGGGCCGCGGAACTTGCCTCTGCTGGTTCGTGTCAATGGTTTCGTTCCCAGCAGTTACAAAGATAGTTAAAAACTGAAAGAAAGGAGTGTTACACTTAAAAGTTATGCCGTGGCCTGTTCTTTTCCGCGTGTCGCCTTTTGGACGTCTCAACAATTTATTCCAAATACTGTATGACAGTTTCAGACTGATGCCAAAGATTAAACAGCGAAATCTAGAAAAGTGTAGGAGTCACGCAAGGAAGGAGAGCGACCTGGCGGGATTTTGGGCGTTTTTTCATTGCCCTGTGACCTTGCCACAGCATATTTTAAAGCCTCAGTCTATACCGGTAAAAACGGTTGAAAAAAACCTGAGGACTATTAAGATACTTCCGTTGCTCATAATTTGTATAGTGAAAAACTATTTCTCGACCTCAACAGGGAGTTTGTTTTTATCTTCCATTCTCTCTCATATACCCACTAAACAAATATTTACTGAAGGCTCACTTAGTATTAAACCTGGTACACATATATACAAATATATATATTCACTATTCATATATGTATATATATACAAATGAAATGAACAAGTTGTATGGGGTACCACTGTTTTGGCAAAATAAGTTCTTGCCCTTAGACAAATATAATACTAGGTGGTGTTGAAGAGGAAAATTAATAACAGACTTTGATCTTAAAATTTTTCTCATCCACAAAACCAAATATTAACAATAAAAAGCCTGACCCAAACTGCAAAAGCCTGCCAGAAACTGCTCTAAGCACTGTAAATGGTCTCCCTATATGCATTGTGTGAAGAACTTTTACATTTTGAGGTGCTGGTAGGCCTACTGGGGGGATTTCAGAACTGAAATTAAGCACTCCTTTCTGAAATTAAACTGAGGGTCTTCTACACTCCTGATAACCACTTGGCTTCTGTTAAAAGTTTGCTGTTTGAAAAACAAAGCTCAGTTGTGCTTGATATGTTAAGAGTGTTCCTTAAGCTAGCCTTAGAAAAAGCTTCATTGAGTTGTTAAAATAAATTAGAGCCTGTAGATAAACATGTTGTTTTTAAGTTCCTCAGCAAGGGCCTACGCATTAGCTCTTTTTTTCTCAGCTAAATAAGCAGAGTTTATTTACTCTTTCCTATTGGAGCCTGGTTGTAGAAGTGGTTAAGTGCTCAGGCTGATACCCAAAAGGTCAGCAGTTGGAATCTACCAGCTGCTCCTTGGACACCCTGTCCTATAAGGTCAGTATGAGTCAGAATCAACGACAATTTTTTTTTTTTTTTTTTCCGACACTTTTCTATAGGATCCCTGGAGCCCTGGGGACACAGTGGTTTAGAGCTCGCCTGCTAACCAAAAGGTCGGCAGTTCGAATCCACCAGCCCGTCCTTGGAAACCCTATGGGGGCAGTTCTACTCTGTCCTGTTGGGTCCCTATGAGTCACAATCAACTCAAGGACAACTTTTTGTTGTTGTTGTTGTTTTAACTCCTGGTGGATCCCTGGTGGTGCGGTAGTTGAGAGCTCAGCTGCTAACTAAAAGGTTGGCAGTTCAAACCCACCAGCTGCTCCTTGGAAACCCTATAGGGCAGTTCTACTCTGCCCTATAGTGTCGCTATGAGTTGGAATCAACTTGTTGGTTGGTTTTTGGTAACTAATGGTCAGTTTTGTATCTAAAGCTTCCAGTTAAATTGGCCCAGCTACAAATATATCACTAAACCTTCAAGTTGAAATTGTTTATACTTTTCATTTTAGAAATACTGCCTTAGTTAAATTGTATCAAGTATGAGAGATTTGTGTTAGACTAGAAACTGATGTAAAGAAAGTTTCACAGATAATTGCCCCCTTGGAAATCTCACCTCGTTTCCTGCCATTGCTTTGATGTGAAGTTGCTGTCTGTACTCACTCTACTTGTTAAATAATCTTTGTTTTGCCTGTAAGGCAGAACATACAGCCAAACTGAATGTAGACTTTATAAATAAAATCTTCAATAGATTTTATTTGTTTACCTATCAAACTGGAGTGTTAGTCGAACTTTACAAGGACACCATATAGAGTAAACTTCTCAATGTCTTTGAATTTTGATTATTTTTAACAATGATGATAAGTACTATGAAGAAAAATAAACCAGGGTAAAGCCCCAGAGGGGGTTGTTTTAGATAAGGTGGTTAACAACATGTGAAATTCATGAACCTTTATTATCTCCTAAACCAAAAAACAACAAACAAACAAAAAAACACAAAAAACTGTTGCAACTGAATGGATTCTGACTCACTGTGACCCTATAGGACAGAGTAGAACTGTCCCATAGGGTTCCAAAGCTGTAATCTTTACGGAAGCAGACTGAGCAGACAACCGCATCTTCCTCACGACGATGGACTGGTGGGTTCTAACTGTTGACCTTTCGGTTATCAGTTGAGCAGAGCTCTTAGCCACTGCCACCAGGGCTTCCAATCTAGTGTTAACTGATTTATGATAATCCCATAACCACGTAAATCTTGACAAACATAAAGGGCTTCATTTTATGTGGGTAATAAAACAGTTTGGCAGCAACAGAGTTCTTATCTCTTTACTCTGAAAATGGCAGGAAAACACTGTAGAGAAATCTGTCACTGAAGACAGTGAACAAATCAAGCACAATCAATTTAATCTTATTTAGATCTTCAGGCAATTTGATTAGCTAGCAAACTGGTTCTCTCTTTAGCTCCCTCAGTGATAAATATTCTTTTTCCTTGAGCTTTGTTGTCAGCAAGGAGAAGGGATTCACAACACAGTACTTAAACCAAATACCTTTAAGTCCAAATTTGCTTCAAGAGTACTATTAATTAAACTTTTTCTCTTCATAAAGAAAAAAAAAATCTGATTTCATATTTTCCTTTCTCAAGCAAAAACAAAACCAAACAAAAACCAAACCTGTTGCAGTGGAGTTGATTCTGACTCATGACGACTCCATGTGTTACAGAGTAGAACTGGGCTCCATAGGATTTTCTTGGCTGTAATCTTTATGGATGCTGATTGCTAGGCCTCTCTTCCACAGCGATGCTAGGTGGGTTTGAACCCCCAACCTTTAGGTTACTGGAGAGCACAAACCGTTTGTTGTTTCCTCAGGGGTCAAATGTTTTGAAGCAGGATAGTATATGTTTTTGTAGCACTGTGGGGGCAGGAAGAGGTTCTGTTGACTGGAAGGCCATTTAGGAGATTATTGCAATTGTTCAAGCAAAAGATGATGAGGATTGGCATTAAGACGGTGGAGGGACAGAGAAGGGATTTAAGACAGAGATGTATCACTGAGGTGGAATTTATAGAATTTTATGACTGATTAAATAAAGCGATAAGGAAGAGGGAGATACCCGGGATAATCCCTCATTTCTGGATTGGGTGAAACTGGGTGGATAATTACACCATTAACCTAAAGATAGAATACAGGAAAAAATATAGATGTGGGGGGAAATAGATAGTAAAACTCAGTATGAAGTGTTAAATTGTAAATTCTCTGCTTCTCAGGTCTTAGAGCATAGGGCAGATAACAGAAAAGCACATGAATCATGAATGCCAATGCTGTATAGACACCGTGATTTTTATTACAACCTGCTGACTACTTCCTTATCCTCCACTTGCTGGCTAAGCAGGGAGTGATGCGTTGTAGTGGAGAAAAATCAGAGTCAAAGACAGAAGGGAAAATATTTCTCTTTTAGTTAAAATAAATTCCCTGCCCTGCCTGCCCCGTAGACTTTTCCATCAGGAGATGTGAAGTAGGTAAAAGAACTGGGAAACTATGACTTCACCTATGGGGTCCCATGTGCTCACTGTGTCTCCCAACAATAAGGTGCTTCTCCTTGAAAAGCTGGGGATGTTTCTGAGTGCAAGGACCCTCTGACACCTCTTGTGAGATGTTTGCTAAGTAGCAGAAGAACAAGGTAGGCAGGAAGGGGGCAATACCTTCCCTGCCTCATTTTCCTTCTGATTTCTAGAATCCCTGAGGCCTAAATAAACCCAAGAATGTAGCTGCGAGTGTAGGCCAGCTTGTTAGCACCCCTTCAAGATGCTACCAGCGGCGAGGGTGACACCAGAAGTATGTATGCGCCGATGTGCACCAACAGACCGTTCAGGATGCTACACAACTGACGCGTGTACATGCTAGCATTTTTCTGCTTGGATGAGAGACCAAATGGTGCCAACCTCAAACGTTAAATCCTGCCAGCAGTAGAAGGAAAAGGAAACCATAGCAGAGAAGGGATTGTATTCTCTGTATCCTGAGGAAGGCATCCCCTGAGTGCGGGTGTACTGACCAGGAAGTAGAGCAGAGGGATGGAGAACAGGCCACACCCTCCCCTCTTGTTTAATGCAGATGTTTCTAATCCACATGGGGCCCAGGAGAGAATGGCACTCAACGTGGGGGCTCGAATTACTCAGGACCTGGTTTTGTTTCCCTAAGGACCGAGCCCCTGGGAAGGACCTGGTAAGAGAGAAGGTGCACCCCTCCTCGAGTTGTGGAGGTCTCTCAACCTGTGGTGTCCCGGAGGTCCGGCAATGGGGAAGGACTCCACAGCAGCGAGCTCCGGATGGAGGGAGAAAGTTTCTGTTGGCCACAGTAGGTAACTGGGCATCTGGTGGTAAATCCTCTGTAAAAGCTGCAGTGGCGTCGGTTCTCACAGACTCCTTCCAAGAATGGGTGACTAGGTCCCGTGAGGTTGGACGAGAGACCGGTGAGGTCCCCTGTTGCAAGTAGGTACCCGGTGAAGTAAGCTTCTGGCCAAGAGTCC